TGAGGTCGCTGACGCCAAAACGGGCTGGCTTTCTCTATCTTGGCCTTGCATCGAGCTGGTGCACTTAAAACAGAAGGTTGGGTACAAGTGCGGAATTCTCATTTGTCTCACGCTCTGCACCCACACGCGACATTTAGTTTTTAAGTTTAATACAGAAGTCACTATTCTCATTAAATCATGAGGTGTTAAGGTACGAAATATTTACCTCACAAGGTAACTAGGAAGAAAGTGCAATTTTCATTCGTTTTTGTATATCTTCATCCTTTGTTCAGTGCGATTTTACACACTTCGGGTTTGAACTTTTCGTGGGGAACACGTGCTGCATCTTACACGACGTATTTCAATTTTAACCGCTGTACTATAAACTTGTGTGTTCGATCCTCGACGAACGCCTTCTATATAGCATCACCCCTTCCAATTCGATCTCTATCAGCTTCCGATCTGCCAGGCGTGTTGCCAGGCGTTGTTTCTCTGTTCTCGTCCCAGATCATCTCAGTTTGGTTGTATCGTGGTATGGTTTTCTATGCGAAAGAACTGGGGCGGAAATAAGGCACCAAAACGAGGTGCCGTGCTCACAAATAAAAATAGGCTCAAGACTGCATATATGCATATGGCTATTGATAGCGTTTCCTTTTTTCATTGCAATTTCATTTTTGTGAAACTTTTGTTTCATACAACAAGACATTCTGCGTCTTGGGATTCTCTGCCATCCCGCCATTCCACCGTTCCATCGTCCCGTCGAATAGGGTTACCCGTTTAAAATCTGGCTCTTGCTTGCTTCGCAAATTTAGCATCTCTTTAGGGCATTAGTTCTGACTGAAATGGTAAAATGTTCTCTCTTCGAATTACGAAAATATTTCTTCAGTTGCCGCGATGTGCAGGTCAAGTCTGTTAGATATTTCTGCAAGGAAAAGTCATGTTTTCAATTACGTGCCGCAAGAGACGCCACTGTATGTGAAATTACTTTAGGATGTTTATCAGCTTTTGTGGTGTCACGTCAAGAACTGAAAAAATTATTTCTTCGAATCATAATTTGTTGATTCACATGATTAAATGCTATCTCTTCAAATAAAACATGTTTTCTTTAATTAATTAATTTAATTTAATGTTTCTTTTATTTTTCTTTTGGATTTCATGATGCGCCGATCACACCTTTCGAGATATTTCTGCAGGGAAAAGCTTTGTTTTTTCACGCGCTATCTTGAAATTTTTGTAGAACTCCGAAAAAAAGAATAAGTAGCACCAGGAAATACCGGTCAAATTTAGATTTAGATCGGAGTTCTATTGTTTCCCTCACTCACTCATCTGGACAACAGATGTGGCTTCGCTCTATAGGAGGCAGTAGCCACAAATAACAAGAAACCTAAAGGCGATTCCGTGGGATGCGTCAGCTACTCAGCATAGAATTGGAAGGAATCGTATAGTTACAAACCCCTCAGTTACATCAGCCGAAAAAAAAAATCACCGTAGAAAATTTTAAGAAACCGTGACTGTGTTTGTGGTTGAAAAAGCGAATAATGGGAGCTTTTTGTCCTTTCGGCGGCAAAATTTCAACCAAACTCCCAGATGCTTATCCATAGGAAACACAAAGTATGATAAATCCTTCCCTAACGATTCCCATCATTATAACAATTGACTGAACAATAATCCATTTTATACTATTTAATTATTTATCTCGAAGACAAAAAACCTGTGTGAACTTTATGTTTTATGTTCGCACCACGAAGCTATGTGAGCACGGCGTCTCGTTACAGTCGGCTATGCAAATTTTATTGCCGTCGCTGCCAATATTGGAGTATGCAAATGATACAATTGCACATTGAATCACAGTAGTAGGGACTTTAAGCAGTCAGTACGGCAACGCCACGGAAGACGTCGATTAAAAAATTAGTTTCTACTTTTAGTTAGAATTTCGAAAATGGCTACATGTGTTTACCATCTCATAGGGTGCCAGACCTCAAACTCAACATAACGCATAAAAGTAGCGTTGAGATCCAAATGTAAATTAAAATAATTTGCCGCTGCGGTTTCGCTTCGCAGACGACGCAAATTTTGGTCATTTCACGTTGTTGTTTTGTAAAAGACGGCTAAGAAATGTACAAAGTTTTAAAACGCACGTGATGGGCTATTGTTCTGCCAATTAAATCTATTGTTTTTCCACGTTCTCGT